CACGCGCATGCCTCGCGGCGGATATGCGCAGCAGCAAGAAGGTTTCGGTCATCCCTTGAGGGTGAGTCTAGCCCTGCTCGCCAGAAAGACCCCCCCCTTCACTACAACCCATGTCTAAGCAAAAGCTTGTCGAGGAGCGAGGGGAAGAAGGGAGAAGTCAGACCGTCGTGTAAATATTGTTGTTGCTTCGTTTCATTCCCAAAGGAGGGTTGTGCGTTGATGGCCTGTAAAATATCGTCTCTAAACCAAATGACATTATCAACAAAGTCATCTCTGGTGGTGTGTTGGAGCAGAACAAAAACACACATGAAATGACAGCCGTTGCGGCAGCCCAGAAACGACAAGCCCAATGTCGCGCGTGTACTGGACCGGCAAGCTACCACGAGCAGCAGCACAAGTGCTCGAAAACGGTACCTTTTGGGGGAAGGCACACGTCGAGCATCAATCTTGGGGTGCTGGGTCGACAAAAAAGGCACCGAGGCTATGTAATTGTAACCGATATTTTTTTATATATCGACCATCATCAAGGGTGGAAAGATAACATCACCCAATTGCGATTGCCGTGACGCCGGAGGATGTCTGACAAGATTTTCGCCACAAAAAGCGGAAGTCAGTCAGCACAAAAACTAGCTTCCAGCGCCAACGCGAACCCATTGTCAAGAAACGCAAGCCACGTGTCGACCTTCGCCGTTCTTTTCAAGCATGTCGATCCACTGAAACCCCCTCGCCTTACCTATCAGTTCTGCCGTTCGACTGCAATGCTCAGACGCCAGACTCTTGTCATTGTCGATTATTGAGGAATGCGAAACCTGTAGACGTTGGTCAATGGTAGCATGTGTGTAGAAGGTCTAGGGAGACTCGGGAGCTCCGTGGTATGGGTACTCTTAGGTTATGCACCTGATGGGATGGGACCAAAGGGTCCTGATCTTTCTCCCATCGATTTTGCTGCCATTGAATCGGAAAGCTTGGCCCACTCAATCAACCAAAGTACGAGAAAGAAACAGCAGCCGCAAGCCAAAACAACTACCCCTGTGGCACGATTGCTAAATGACTGCCGTGCGTCGCGCGCGTGCGCACAACTCGATGGTGGGTAATTTCGTTTGTTCCGCTGACGGCGGACGGGATTTCTTTGTCGCCGCGTTTTATTTCGCCGCTAATTGGTTTGTGTATGAGTGTTTTCTCCAATAGCATCCACCGCGCCAACTGGTCGACTGATGTGTGTGTATGTGCGTTGCGTGTGGATTCTGCGACCACAACACAACCGAGGTAACCGTACGCCCGCAACAACGCAACAAAGATCGATATGTACCGGAGTTGTCGCACGGGGGGGGGGGGGGGGGGG